TCCAGCCTGTTGTGTATATCCTTTGACTACCAGTCTTGCCTTGAACCTTTCTATGCTTCCATCTGCTCTATGTTTAACTTTGTACACCCATCTACATCCAATTGCCTGCTTGTCTGCTGGTAGACTTACAAGATCCCAAGTGTTGTTGGCATACAATGCCTCAAATTCTTGTGTCATGGCTTTCTGCCATGCAGGGCTCAGTGATGCTTCCTCATATGATGATGGCTCACTATCATGACAAACATTCTCAACAAGAGCTTGACTGTTAGATGCAATGACATCAGGAGACACATGGTGGTGTTTGGTAAACAAGGCAGTAAGAGAAGTGGGATGATTTTGTGTGTTTTGTGTGTTGATGTCAACAGGTTTTAGGCTAGGAATGTTGACAATGTAATCTTTCAGATGTTGTGGAATTTTATTTACTCTATGGGATTTTCTTTGCACTACTGTGGAAGGAACATGTGGTGGTGGTGTTGGAGATGTAATGGTAAGGACAGGAGGTGGTTGTGCAATGGGATCCTCAATGGTGTGGTCAGGTGGATGAATGGGAATTGTATCAGTTACATTGTTATAGTCACTTACACAATTATCACATGAGGCTAATTCAGTATAATCAGTAGAAGGAATAGACCTCAAAACAGAAGGAAAAGAAGAGCTTTCAGCTGACAAAGTAAAAGGAAAGACATTTTCATGAAAGATCACATCCCTGGAGACATGTATCTTCTTTGTAGCCAGATTCATTACCTTGTAACCTTTTGTTCCAAAAAGATATCCCAGGAAAATGTGTGGGGTGGTTCTTGGTTCAAGTTTGTCTCTAAGTACTTTCGGGACAGTGGGGTAACAAAGGCACCCAAAAGATCTAAGTTGGCTATAATTTGGTTTTCTTTTATACAACAGTTCATAGGGGCATTTATTTTTCAGATGGCTTGAGGGAAGTCTATTGATGAGATGGGTGGCTGTCAAAACACATTCTCCCCAATACCTTATAGGTAATTTAGATTGAAACAAAAGGGCTCTGGCTGTTTCCAACAAATATTTATGTTTTCTTTCCACCACACTGTTTTGTTGTGGTGTGTATGGACAAGTTTTCTGATGAATGATCCCTTTGGACAAAAGAAATTGGTGTGTTTCATTGTTGGTAAACTCCAGACCATTATCTGTCCTAATGTTTTTGACTGTGGTGTTGAATTGATTTTCCACCAGACCTATGAAATTTTTCAGAACTTGTAAGGCATTGCTTTTGGTACTTAAAAGATGGGTCCAAGTTGACCTGCTGTAGTCATCTACTAATGTAATGAAGTACTTGTAGTTGTCATATGTGGACACATGATATGGTCCCCATAAGTCAATGTGAAGTAGTTCAAAAATGGATTTGGTTTGGCTGGTACTGTGATTAAAAGGTAATCTCTCTTGTCTTGCCATTGGACAAATGTTGCAGGAAAAAGGTTGTTTGGGAGAAAAAGTGGCTGGTAATGCAGTGATACTCTTCATTTTAACAAAAGGTACATGGCCAAGTCTATTGTGCCACAACAAGTCGACATTATCTCCAGAATTGTTACAGGAAATATGATCAAACAAGACATCAATATTATTGGAAGGAGAAGTACACACAAGAGGAACAGAGTTGTGAACACTATGAGATTTATCTGCAGTAGAAGGTTTGACAGAAGAAGAATTGCATGAGTATTCATCATGTCATTTGCAGCACCATATACATTTGCCACCACTCTCTTCCCTTTGAAGTTTGGGCTTTGTTGTCTGAAACTCTGACCACCATTGTAACTCCCTGACCTGAAGTTTTGATTATTGTTACCTTGGGGATACCCATGCAACTTGTAACACTTGTCCCTAGTGTGTCCAGTCCTCTTACAATAGTCACACACTATAGCATTTCTACCACTACTACTGCCTGAGTAATAGTTTCCTCCTGAACTGCTTCTACCACCAGCATAATTGCTCTCACCACCTGCATAACTGTTTCCCTGATAATTTGTCCTGAAAGTCCTTCCTACATGACTCTTGTTATCAAGAGAATTTGCATTCAAAGAGATTGAATCTGTGGGCATTCGACCAATAGGCTTAAATTCTCTTTGTTTTTCCTCCTGGATTAACAGTGAGAAAGCCTGTCCCATAGAAGGGAGTGGATTCATCATGAGGATATTTCCCCTCACTACTGTGTACACTTCATTTAGTCCCATAAGGAACTGAATTAAACGTCTATCTTGCTCTGCCTTGTGCATACCATCCTTTGCACCACA